CAGAGCCAATGCCAGCTGCTCACTTCTCAGACCCGAGGCATCTCTCACAAGAGCCTGTTTTAAATTCCAGAGAAGATGGTGTCCCTAAATATTTCTTTTCTGCTTTTGGGTTCCACTACCCCCTGTTCATTTATTATTATGTATTTAGCCAACATTTTGTTGGCACCCGGTGTTGCGCAGGACCCTGCGGTTTCAAAGGGAAGTCAGTCCTGGCGCTGGGGGAGCGATGCTCAGGCCAGCATGGTGGGGGCCAGTGGGTGGGCAGCGGGGACTTCATGGGCTCCAGGGGTTGTGAGGGAAGAAGACACTGGGAGGACAGGCAGAAAGGGGAGAGGAGCTCATCTTACCCCGGGGTTCGGGCAGTCTTCACAGATGAAAGGGCCACCGAGAAACCTTGGGAGAAGAGTGGATGGATGGATGCTGGCTGGTGGCCGGGCGGAGAAGGGGGCCAGGGATGGCTGCGAGGCAGACAGAGGGAGATAAAGCCAGAGATCTGGCCTGAGGGTTTCATCTCCTGCCAAGGAGGTAGGAGTCACTGAGGGTTGCAGGGGAGGGTGGCTGGGTCCCATTTCTGTTTTAGGACCTCGCAGGCTGCCGGGTGAGGGCAGTCATGAGCTCTGGGGCTGGTGCAGTAGGAATTCCCTGAAGGCAGCTGCATCTGGGATGGAGATGCAGTAAGATGCGCTGAGAGGGTGGCCTGTAATGAGCAAGGGGGCGGGGGCAGGAAGGACAGGGGTGAGGATCAGAAAGGGAAATCAAGACCCTGGGACCAAAAGCAAGCTGACAAGAGTGGGGGATGTCCGGGACGGGGAGCCTCCACTAGGCTCAGCTGGGAGGGCATGGAGAGGGGGCATGTGTGAACTGACGCCTCTCTCAGAGTTTGGTGTCCACTTCTGGCACCTCATGCAGCTCAGTGAACAGGCCTGGCCTTCTGGCTGTGCCCAGCCCCTGGGAGGGGGCTGCTCGGATTGACTCAGCATCTCAGGCGGCCATTTCTCCCCACCCTCATCAGCCTCGGCTTCTGGTCCCACTAAGCCCTGACCCTTCCTGTGCCCTGTCCTGTAAGAGGTGTTCATTCCCGCATCTGATAGGCAGCGCCAAATTGGAGGAAATCACGGCTGACTGCGCCGGAACCAGGCCTGCCTCCGCCTCCGTTAGCTCTGTGGCCTCACAAATGACCTAAGTTTCTGAGCTTCTTTCCGTCCCTCCTAATACATATTTTACCTTGAAGTTAAATGCATGGAATACCGAATCTGGCCCAGAACCTGCATGCCATAACGAAAGTTGCTCTGACTCCTGGTATCATTGTTTTTGTAGCAACAAGAAGGCACAATTAAGCCATGTGGAGAGTCCCACCTCCACTCCTGATAAGATGGGAAGAAAGAAAAAGATTTTAGGCAGAATGTTCTCATGGTCAGCATCATCTCTGCCATATTTCTCTTTAGTACTTGTAGGACCGTAACTAATATTTCAATGGCTATTTGTGCTTTTATTTCCAGGACATGTTTAATCGCTTTCAAAGATCTGGAACCTTCCAGGGGCCCACTGTCAAATTTCACGCACCCCCCAGGCAGCAGCCACGATCTGTTTAAGAGTCTTTAAGCTGTGTAAGCGGGTCTCGTGCTTTCCTTTCTGATCAGTAGGGCACTGGTGTTGGCTGAAAAGCCACCCCAAACTGACTGGCACTTACAATAGAACCAGGAGGAAACTCTCTGTAGAATGTGATGATTGTCAAGATAAACTCACTCCCATTGTAGAATTGTCCAGAATCTCACTTTGTGATAAGGAACAAATTGTGATTCCCAAGCATGAACCATCTAGCTTTATAGCTTTCTTAAATAAGTTTTCTCCCCCTACCTCTCTCTTCTCGTTCTCATTTCACAGATGGAAGCTTTCTGGAAACAGATGGAAAACACCCAGCACCTTCTTGTGGACCAGTTCAAGTGTTCTAGCTCCAAAGCCCGACAGCTCGTGCTGACGCTCACGGGAAGCATGATTTTGGCCGAAGGGCTGTTGCGCGACTCTCAGGATCTGCAGGCTCTGGTAATGCTGCAGGGGGCAGGGAGGGGACACGGCGATGCTCAAATGAGAGATGTGGGACCCAGAGCTCGAAGCCCTGTAGAGATGATAAAGGTGAAGGCCTTCGCACTGCAGGTGGGCATACAGAGCCCAGAGGAAAGCAGTGAATCCTTCCATCTGCCCGTCCATCCCTCCATCTGTCCATCCGGTCCGTACGTGGAGATGCCGGCCAGCTCAGTACTTAGGCGGCCTAGAGCACCTGTTCTCAGTTCTGCCTGCACATTGAAATGATCTGGGGAACTTTAAAAAGTGCTGACGTATGGGTCCCTAATGGGTCCCCACCCCAGAGAGTCTGACTTAATCATTCTGGTTTTTATAAGCCCCAGGGGGCCACAGCGAGCCGTCATTGTTGACGCCTACTGGTGTGGACTGAGCTCCGATTTGCTCCCCTGACTTCCCCACGAATCTCCTGGGGAGCTTTTTAGTAAAAGGCCAAAGACTTACATGATCTGAAGAGAAACCAGAGTGTAGCCTGGGCGCTTTCTAAAAATGGCTGGCTGGGCCTTGTGCCCAAACATACAATCTGATTGGTCTGAAGGGGAGGCCCTGGCACTGCTGGTTTTAAAACTCCCCACATGGTCCTGATGTGTGACTGGGGGGTGCAAGCCACTGGTGTAGTGCTGTCTGCACATCTGACTTTGAGCGTCAAGGCTCACTTGAAGCTGTGTGACCTTGAGCTGGTTACTTAACCCCTCTGAGCTCCATTACTGTTATTTATAAAAGGAGTTGCTGCAGACAGAGCCTGGGGAGGTGCCTGGTGACCTGTAACACCCTTGTCACCAGGAACTTTCTCTGTGGAGGTCTTGGTCTGCCCTGCCAGGTGCAAGGCCCTGGGTGCCATGCGCCCACTGCCTTGTCCTCTGACCTTGGGAACTCATGCATTACATTTCACACCTGCGCACTCAGCCGGCTCAGAAACCCCCAGTGACTGCCCTGCCCTCAGCGCAGACTTAGCTCCTCAGGCCCATGGAGCTTGCCCTGCTGAGCCGGGCCAGTCCCTGCCACTTACTTCTCTGCAAACCACTCCCCCCTCAGCACGGTCCACAGACCAGGGGCGTCAGCCTCCCCTGCGAGCTGGTTAGAAGTGCGGAACCTCCCCTCCCAAATCAGGATCCGTATTTTAACAGACTCCCAGATGCACACAGCTATGTGAGAACTTTATACACTTTTGCTAATCATGTGCACATATAGCCTCCTTTTCCTCCTCCGCACTGCTAAGCCAGGCAGAGATATTTGACTCACCACGAGCAGAGAAAGAGTCACTGAGTGGCTCACCAGGCTCCCATCCCGTCCAGTGGCATTGCCGAGCCTGGGCGCCCAGCCTCCTGCTTTGCTGTCCAGTACCCTTTGAATTGGATTTTAATTTGATAAGGGTGCCAATATGAATGCTCATCGAAGGCGAAAGACTTTTTCTCTTTTCTTTTTATTTAAAAATCCTGTCAGCAGGGTATTGATGAAAAAAAAAATGTATCCTTAGCTGACTCTGGTCAAAGTATTAGCCAGTAAGTTCCAAATAGGCTGAAGGGGAAGAATTATCCAGGTGGTCCATACGCCCTCACTTCAGTCAACACTCAATGAGCACCTACTGTGCACCACATTGTTTCAGAAACTGTGCTACAGACTTGAACTAGAAAGCTGAGCTCAGGTTTGCCACTTTTTAGCTCCAAGTCCTTGAGCTGTTACTATACCTTTCTGTGACCCAGTTTTGTTACCTGTAAAGGGGGCATCAGAATAACACCAGCTCTGAGAGTGCTGGAGTGACAATACATAATTCCTGTAGAGCAGGGCTTGGCGCATGCAAAGTGGTCAGTATGTGTCGGAGATTAGACTCAGCAGGCCACATGCCAGCGGGCCAAATGGACGTAAACAAATCATCAGAACGGTGCGTGGGAAGGGCCATAGTCACGGTACAGAAGAGGGACGGATTAGCTTTGCCTATGTCCCAAGTATCCAAAAAAAAGAATTTAAATTCTCGGACTGGCATCTGGGTAATTCTGGCCTGGGCAGGTGGAATGCGCACATGCCATCACTGAGTATCAGCCTGAAAGAACCCTGGAGAGGGCCGAAAGGTCATCAGAATCAGTCTTTTAGGATGTAAGAAAAAGGAGATGTCAAGAGAGGTGGAGGACCTTCTGTAGGTCATTATGAGAGCAGCTTGCCTTCATGAGCACCTGTGCTCTGGCCACTGTTTTAAATGCTTTACATATTTTAATCTAATTAATGCTCACAGCAACTCTGTAAATTGGTGTCAGATGAGGACGCCGCCCTGGGCCGCGCAGCCCTGAGGAGGGCAGCCAAGCTCAATGCTGGGGCTGGACGCTGCCTGGCCCCCAGCCGGCGGGCCCTGCCCCGCCCCCCATCTCCCTCTGCACCCGCCGCCTTCCCGCTGATGCCCTCCGCTCAGGCTCACCTCTTTCCACTCCGGTCTTCCCTGGAGTATAAATCAGAGCTTGCGCTGTCAGCGGGGCAGCCTCACCGTGCGACCGCCCAGGGGGCTGCAGCGGAAGGTGGGCACCTCCCTCCCCGCCTGGGTCAAGGCGGAGCGGAGCCGCCCCTCCGCGCGCACCTGGCCCCGGGCGCTTATCCTCTCGCGCCCCCTTGTGGTCACGGGCCCTTGTTTACTTGGAGGCAGGGAAGGTTCCAAGCTGCCATCCCTGGGCTAGTATTTTGCCTCCGGAATAAAGCTCAGCCTTCATCCTGTTCACACACTGATAGAACACGTTCCTGTGCGGTTCAGCAAACAGGCCTCCCAGCGCTGGGCGGAGGGTGGCTCTGTCTTCGTGAGCTCTCAGTCCAGCCTGGGACTGCCCTAGTGATTAGGGGCCATGGAGCCCAGGTGTGGGGGCTGGTTTTGGGGAAGAGATCGGGGAAGCTGCCACACAGCCCGGAGGGGGAGAGTGTTCAGGTGGGAGGGCCGTGTGCACAGAGGCCCCTGTGCAGAGCTGAGTGTCAGGTGTGCCGCGCAGCCAGGAGCAAGGAGACGAAGCCAGGCCTGGTTCTGAAGGGCCTGCAGGGCCCAGTGCACCGCACCCAGGCGCCTAGACGTGGTTTGAAGGCAGAGCCTGGAGGGGAGGGTCTGGGCTAGGGAATAACAGAGCCATGTCTGCATTTCGCAGAGGCCCTGCCTGCCTTGCAGGAGTGGAGCGTAGAGGGGACAGGTCGAGGCTGGGAGAGCAGGAGTGGACAGTGGCTGCAGCCCAGGGCAGGAGGGAGCAGGGCCTGTGCTGGGTGGGCCCGTGGGAAGTGGGTGGGTGGGGGCGTGAATGAGGCATGATTGCCCCTGTTGTGGGCAGAAGGGGACTGAGGCCAACTGGGACCTCTGCCAGTGCCAGGTGGTTGGTGGGGCCATTGCCGGGTGGGAAGGCATCCTCCCCTGAGACGCAGGGCCACCACTTGAACGGGACCCGGGGTTCCTGTGGCCCCCCTGCTGGTCCCAACAACATCCGGGCTCATTGTGCAGCCTTCCTGAGCAGCTGCTCCCTGCAGACACCCACACTGACCTAGGGCACCTGCCCCTGCCTCTGCCAACCTTGTCCCTCCCAAGCCTGCCTTCCTACGCAATGATAACAGCAGGGCAGGGCGGGCCAGTTCTGAAGGCCGACCCCAGGCACACCCCTTAAAGCCAGTCTTGCCCTTGGAATCTCTTAAATCCTGGGACTCAAGCTCTCTGAGGCTTGAAAGCCAAGAACTATACCTTGGTTATTTCTCCCGAGTTCCATTTCCAGGGCTGTGGAGGACAAAGGCCCAGTTGGCTGGGGAGGAGGACCGTTAGGAATTTCCCTCTGTGGCCAAGTGCAGGCACTGAATGCCTCTCCAGAGGAGCGCTCACGATGCACTAAGCACCATGTCACCCTGTGTCAGCCTTGCCACATCCCAGTGGGGGATGACTTTGTCCCCCTCTGAGGAGCGGCACAGGAGGCTCGGAAAGAGGGCCAAGTCATCTGTGCTCTGCTCACAGGGAGGTGGGGCGCCAGGACAGAGCCCCTTGCCATCCGCAGACCCTTACGTCTGCGCTGACCCAGGATGTCCCAGCCCGTCATCCCGTGTGTCTCTCCTTAGGACACCCTGGAGAGAACGCTGGGGAGGGTGCACATGGCAAAAATGATGGAATCTCTGAAGCTGCAAATCCAGGAGGAGACCAGATGCCGGCTGGCCGCCATCTCCCACGGCCTGGAGCTGCTGACCATCGAAGGGAAGCTCTCCGGGCGGCAGAAGGAGGAGCTATTGACCGAGCAGCACAAGGCCTTCTGGGCGGAGGCAGAACTCTTTGGCAGGGGTGAGCGAGCCAGGGCCTGGGGCAGGCGCAGTCCCTCTGGGGTCCCTGGTGCTGCAGGGCACGGGGGCCAGGGCTGGGGGCAGCCCTTGCAAGCGTCCCAGAGGAGGAGCAGCACCCGTGAGACCAGTGCCACCTGCGCCAGCCATCGACGATTCAGGCTGACGGGGGCCCTGGCGTCCTGCAGCAGAGCTACCTAGGACATGAGGAGGGCAAAGGAGGGTGGAAGTGCCAGCAGTGACGTGCCGCTCAGCTGCAGCCCGAGGCCCTGCACGAATCCCAGGCTGTGCTAAGCTGCAGGTGGGCAGTGGGCTTGCGTGGGTGGCAGGACAGGCAGCCCGACATGGCTGTTCCCGGCTCCGACCCTGGGAGGTGGGCAAGTCAGGGCTCGGCACATCAAGGGCATCTGAGACTCAGTCCAGGTCGTCACTAATGGGCCCTGTGAAAAGAAACTCAGGTCTTTTATTGGCAGGGAGGAAACTACTCTGCAGCCAATACCAGCATCCTGGCGCCCCTGGCAGGAGACTCATCCACGTCCCCTGGGCTGGTTCAAGGCTGTATGAGCATCCGGGGCCTGTCCAGGTCTCAGTCAGGACTATAAGGCATGGAATCTGTGTGCTGAACAGGTCCCACAGCAGGGCTGGGCACTGCAGGACCAGGGAGCCTCTAGGTGTCTCAGTCAGCTCGGGCACCCACCAGATGTCACAGACTTCAGGGCTAAAACAACAGACTTATTTTTTTCACAGTTCTGGAGGCTGGAAGTCCAAGATCAGGGTGCCAGCTGATTCCATGCTGGTAACAGCCTGCTTGCCGGCTTGCAAATAGCCACCTTTTAGCTGTGTCCTCACATGGCAGAGAGGGAGCTTTTGTGCGCCTCTTCCTCTCCGGGTTGTGACTGTCAGGGTTATGATTAGCCTTATGGCCTCATTCAACCTTGATTACCTCCTTGTAGGCCCCATCTCCAAATGCAGTCCTGTGCATGTAGATTCAGTGCATCCGTTTGCGGAACACAGTTCACTGCACAGCACCAGGTTTCCATAGCGGCATATGACCTGGTCCCCTCTGCCCTTTGGAGATGGGTCAGAGGGCAGGCCCTCAGCAATGGGACATCAGGACTCCAACCAGACCATTCTACAAGGTCCTTATGTCACTTGTCATCACAGCTTCTGTGCCCATGTGGAAGCGTGCCGTTGGCTGGCATGCTGGACCATATAGCACCCAAATGCATCTGGCCTCAGGGCCACTGGGTCATCACACAGTGGCCTGGGCTTCACTAGCTGGAAGAGACCCCACCAGCAGACAGCAGGAAGGATGCTGAAGGGCTTCCCTTGGCAGTCTGTTGAGCTTGGATGAGGTGGGGGAGGCAAAGAGATGGTCGGTGGACCGAGGACCCTGGGTTGGGGGGGCTCTGGTCTGTCCTGGTGACCTGCCTCCTCTCTCAGGAGCCTTCTCTGCTGGACACACTGCCCGCCCCCTCCTCCCCATCCCCTGCCACGTCCCTCCCCTAGCATGGCCCTGGCCCCGCCTGCCTCTGTTCTCGCCATCCCTGACCGGCAGATCGGGAGCTGGGTTGGGCCCTGCTCACAGGCACAGCCCAGCACCTAGGTCTGTGCTTGGCTTGCCTCTAGCCAAGTGCCCTTGGCAGGCTGGAGGGGGTTTAGATCCCAGCCCCTGCTGGCTGCCTGTTCCCCTGCCCCTCCGTTCCCTCCTTCCTGCAGCTCCCAGCCCACCACCCTTCTGGTCTGCTCATCTGATCACCCGTCCTGTGGTTTCTAGGCCTGCTCCAGCCTGCGGTGTCACTGTCTTCCTGCACACTTGGGCTCCCGGTCCTCTCTGGTCCCCTCTGCTCCCTGTGCCAGCCACACCTCCCTCACCCTCTTCCCCAGGAAAATGCCTCTTTTTAAATCTCCTGGTCGGGTTGGCCGGCTGCCCTGCACAGCAGCTAAATAAACCTCTTGCGGTGTCCTGAGCCCTAGGCCCACGGGGAAGTGGGGGTCCCTTCGAATACCATGGGCCTGTGGGCTTTGAGGGGCTAGGGGCTCCTAAGACTGGTGTTTGGAAGCACAAGTGCCTAGAAAATAGAACAAAAAGGGAAATGGAGTTTGCCCCTGTGACTCTTAGGCACACAAGGAGCCACTGAAGGCATTGCCAGGAGACTGACCTGTGTTGTCCCTGTGGCTTTTGTCGATGTCAGAGTTTGTCCAGCGAGGCAAAGACCTGGTGAAGGCGTCGCTGGCTCACCAGGCAGAGGAGACGGCAAAGCTCACATTGGCCCAAGAAACAGAGCAGAGGAGCTTCCTGGCTGAGGCCCAGCTGACTGCCGACCCCGAAGAGTTCCTCCAGGTGACCCTGTCCCGAACCCCCCGAACCCCTGCCCCACTGACAGGCCCAGGCACTACCACCCGGGAGCAGCCTCTTGGGTTGAGCGGCGTGGCTCAGTTGCCATTACCATGCAAGGAAAGCCAGGGACTTTGGCATCTGCCAGACACGAGGTCAACTCTCTGGCTTCCACATGTCAGCCCAGTGACCTCAGCAAGTCCCTTAAGCCCTGTGTCCCCAGCTTCTTCATCTGTAAGCCAGTGATGACAGCAGCACCACCCTCACTGGGCTGCAGGGAAGAGGGGCAGGAGAGTCCATGGAGAGAGCTTTGCACACCCTGACGCAGGGGAGGGGGCAGCCAGTGTGCACCAAGGGGGTGCTGTGTGGACCAGAGGGCACAGGCATGTCCCTGGGGTATAATGCAAGCTCACACACCTCGAGATGGGACTTGGCTGGGCCAGGTGGCAAGCCCAGGGGCAGGGAGGACACTGCAGGTGGGGCTGAGTGGGCAGGACCAGGGACATGGCCAAGCTAGAAAAGGTCTTTGGTCTTGACTGGGAAGGGAACAAGGAGACCCTCAGGAGGTCAGGAAGCAAGACGTCACCTGCCTTGAGGGAAAAGAATGAGCTGGCACTGTGCAGGCGGGATGGGCCAGGACCCGCGGTTCTCATAGAGGAGGCAGGGTTCGGCCTTCCCCTCTGTACTCCCTGCTGACTGGCCGAGGCCAGGCCAGGGCTGCTTGGCTGCGGCCCTTCTGTGCGGTGGCTGAGCATCTGGGTGCTGGGGCCGCTGGCAGTATGCTGGGACACTGACTGCATCGCCAGCTAGCTGGGTGACCCTGGCACATTGCTCACCCCCGCCCCTGGCTTCCTCCTTTGTGCAGCAGGAACGATAGTGCCCCTCATGTGCTCGTTCGGATTCAGCAAGACTGGAAGGGCAGCCTGGCTGTGTGTCTGGGTTCCTCACTGGGGCCGCACTGGGGGCCGCTCCCTCGGCTCTCCCAGGGGGTCTGGATCCAGGCCGGGCTGGAGCTGTGGGCTCCGTCCTCCCTGGGGCCAGCGTGGTGACATCAGCACCACAGGGGAAGCCAGGGGAGGGGCCCCCCAAGGACGGAGGAGGGTCCTGCTGCCTCTCACTTCAGGCCCCTTCCAGTCAGACGGGCAGGGGAGGTGGGGAGGCCGGAGGGAGCAGAGAGGTGCTGTTTATATCTTCTAGAAGATCATTTGAAATCAGAGTGAGAAGACCTGGTATTACTGTTATTTGTCCCTCTGGGATTCCAGGCCCCTGTCTTGACTTCGCATGGCCCCACCCTGCGTGGGGAGAAGGTGACCAAGCCAGCTCAGGAAGGCAGGGTTGAAGGAGTGCCAAATGAATGCACACACACTCACGCCGCGGCTGTGTCCCCCCACATCCAGCCCGCAAGGCTCACCCTCTGCTCTGCCCCCGTCAAGGCCAGGTGGCCCCTTACTTCCTCCTGCGGCCGCTCCAGACTGTGTGGCTCCAGTCTTCCCTCCAAGGAACTGTCCTTGTCCTTGAAGACTCACCTTACCCGGCAGTTTTCCCGTGGACCCTAAGAGAAGCCCCCCTCGCCATCACTGTGCCCCTCTGGTAGTGTTGGGGGCCCTGACGTGCACGGGTGCTGCCCCGTCTCCCACTCAGAGCCCAGCCACATGGGCGCAGTGGGCCTGCTTGTCGCTGACCACATTGACCTCATGGCCCGTGCGCATTGGCCTGGCTAGGCTGTGGGCTCCACTAGTGGGTTTCCAGGGCCTGGGGGGTGGCCCCCAGCAGCTGAAGTCAGAGAATGACATCTGGGTGGTTTGTGGCCAAGTGGTCGCGTTTGCTGGTCTTACTTTAGTTTGCAAGCCATGCAAGCCACGCGACGTCTCCGGGTCTCTGGTCCCTTGTGCACGACTCAGGGATGGACAGCTTCCAGTCTGAGAGGCAGGGGTCCGGTGGGGAGAATTTCCTGTGAAAAAAATCCTAATTTTTCTAATTGATTCAGCTTCTGTTTTACTCACAGGCTTTTCACGAGGTCCTGGAGAGGCACAGGTTGGCCCAGAGTTACCTGGAGGAGGAGGCGAACATAAGAAGCACCGAGGCCGTGGCTGCGCTCTGCCAGGTGTGTGGTCTCCAGGTGGGATAGGCAGACAACCCCAGTGCGTGTGTGCAGGAGAACCTCACCTCCTTCTGGGCAGGAGACTCCTCTGGCTGGGTGACTCAGGCAAGCCACATGCCCTCCACAGGTCCTGCCCGTGTCTCATACCAGGGGCGTATCTGAGGCACCTGCCGTTTCTAGGGTGCCTGGGACTCCCTCCTCCAGATGTCCCTGGAGGCAAAGGTTTTGGAAGTCAGTTCACCCAGGATGAAAAGTAGGCTTCGTTTGTGAGGTTGTCAGTATACAGCAGCGTCAGAGGACACTGTGGGCCTAGAACAGGGAAGCCTGGGTCCGATTGCCAGGACCACCTCTTCCTCCCTGGGCAACCTCTGGAATGGAATGGAGAGGTGCAGCCTGCCTCAAGGACACTGCGGCCCCAGAGGCCACACACGCCTCTGGGACGTGCCCTCTCTCAGACCTTGGCTGGGCACTGCCCACAGCCCTGTTAGCTCTTTAGGACTTCTGTGATGACTTAATAAACATTTGTCCAACTTTTCATTTCATTCCTCCTCAGCAGGGAGTTGGTCCAGATTACCTGGCTGGCCATTCCCAGTAGGATCACTAAATCGTCTAAAAGGATGTAAGTCCCTTATGCCCCTGTCATGGTCACTTTATTCTGAACAAAGTCCAGCTTGGCCATGAGCTTCTTAGAGTGGGGCATTCACTGTCTTTGATAAATATTGATTTGATTTAAATTTAACTTAGATATTCATTGAGCACACCAAGTATGACCTAGGTACAAGATACTAGGTGCTAAGAATGTGTTTATTTTTCTTTCAAAAGGCCAATTATCCTTGTAGCATATGGTTAAAAACAAGAGTCCTATAGTCCAGGGGCCGGGACCCTCTGCAGACTGCATTGGGTCATCCATCCTCTCTGTGCCTCATTTCCCCATCTGTACAATGATCATAATTATAATAGAACATCTTCCTTAGACTGTTGGAAGGATTGAATGAGATAATACAAGAAAAGTGTTAATGACACTCTCTGGCACATGGTAGGAATTCATAATCATTACCAATTATGAAATTGTTGCCTGCTATTTTCCAGGTGCCATAAGAGGCCCTGCAGATGCTAAGGCAGGACTTTGCTCTTAGGAAGCCTCATGGCCCAGTCCGTGAGAAGGGCAGCAGAGCAGCTGGTGACCACACAGGATGGCAAGTGCTAGGAGGGTAGAAGCAAAGGATGGGCACCTCTGTTGGGGTCCCCGGGACACACTCAGGTTTGAAGATTTGCCAGGAGGACTCACGGGACCTAGTAGTTAGTGCCACCCATGCCAAGATTTATTACAGCAAAAAGGATTCAAAGCAAAATCAGTCAAGGGAAAAGGCACATGGGGTGAAATGCAGAGGAAACCAGGCCGAGCTTCCCGAATCTCTCCCAGCAGACTGGTGCTTAATCCCCCCACCCTGCCACAACGAGTTGCAATAACTCATGTCAAGTGTTGTCCACTGGGGAAGCTCTCCTGAGTTTAGGAGCCCCAGGTATTTATTGAGGGTAGGAGGCCAATCACATAGACACCCTCTGCCTGACATGTACCAAGATTCCAGACTCCCAGGAAAAAGGCAGGCAGGTGTTCGGCTTAAATCACACTGCCTAATTGAACCCTGCAGTCAGGAGGCCAGCCTGGGAGAGGAGACCCTAGAGTGAGTTTTGGAATATGTGCTGGGAATTCCCAGACAGAGCAGGGGGATGGGCATTCTATATTATGTCTGTGGGTGAAGCATTCAGGTGCTTGGCCTGGGAGGATGTGAGCATGGGTGCAGATGTATCATGCGGCCTCCACCCTTGGGAAGCTGTGGGCTGGGAGGTGATGGATAAATTGTAGTTGAGACGCCTGGTGGGGCTGACCAAAGAGCTGTGTGGCTCAGGGTCAGAAATGCCCATGTTAGTCTGAGAGACCCAGGGATATTATCTAAGGGCTTTTGTTTTCCATAACTTAATGAAATACTTTTTAGAGAGAGACTAGAGTAGGGGAGGTGGGCTAAAGGGAACAGAATGGTGGGAATGAGGCAGGACCTCCTAGGAGGCCTGCCTAGTGACCTGGGTGGTGATGCACAGAGGCATTCCAAGCCGCTGGACCAGAATGACAGGAGGATCTGGGGCTTGTGCAATAACTCGCGTAAGGGTGGAGGACGGAAGGAGGTAGAGAAGCCGGCTGGGGTGGTGAGAATAACTTGACAGATGTTTGCAGGAGACCCTAGAGATTAAGGCCTCATTGGGTCAGGAGGGCATGTCTGGGGCTTGACTGCGTGGAGGTGGGAGGCCTGGAAGGCAGGGGCGTTGCCCTAGATTGTGTGTGTGTATGTGTGTGTGATGTGAGAGTCATCTTTGCTGGATCCCCGTGTCTCGTGGGAAGCTCACACCCTGCCTGTAGTGAGGACAGGACTTGTAACCCCAGCGTGTGGCTCTTGGCCTCAGGAGCTGTTCCGTGGCACCGTGGAAACATTCCAGAAGTTTGTGGATGTCCTGTTCCTTCAGACGCTCCCGGGTGTGGCCGGCCTCAACGGGACAGAGTGTGAATACCTGAGGCAGGAAGTCCGAGAGAACACCGCCTGGCAGCTGGGGAAGTCGGATCGCTTCCGGAAACAGCAGTGGAAACTCTTCCAGGATCTCCTGGAGCAGGAAAAGCAGGTGCGGGCCATTTGCCAGACTGGGTCTAGAGGCTGCATTTTTTACACTTACGAAGACTGATGAGACATTTCGTTCATGGAACGTCCTCTAGGGCCTATGCGAGGCACTGTGTCAAGATGCTGGTTGCCGACCTTTCCCAACCAAGGCAGGGGGCAGAAGAGAGCAGAGCCCCCTCCGGGGATAGTAGGTGCGATAACACCTTCAGCTGATCCATCAGGAGAGGGCAGCAAGGCCGTCCCTTCGAATAATAGAAATCAACGACAGAAGGTGGTTCACAGGGGAGGGGCTCCTGTTTTTCAAGGAAGTCTGTCTCATTATTAAAAAACTAAAACTATGCATGAGGTGGATAGAATAATGTCCCCAAAGATGTCCACATCCTGATCCTTAGAACCTGTGACCGTGTCACCCAACTTGGCAAAAGGGAATTTGCAGATGAGATTAAATTAAGGGTTTTGAGATACGGAGATTAGTGTGGATTATGCAGGTGGGCCCAGTGTAACCACAAGGGTCCCTACAAGAGTGGAGGGAGGTCAGAGTCAGAGGAGGCGAGCCGAGACCTGAGCAGCCGCTGGAACGATGCTGCCATTAGCCAAGGAGCGCAGCCTCTAGAAGCTGAAAAAGGCAGAACAGATCCCCCCCCACCCCCGGGGGCTCCAGAGGGGGCCAGCCCTCGATTGTGGCCCAGTAAGACCCATTTCAAACTTCAGAATTCCAGAACTGTAAGGTAATAAATTTGTGTTGTTTCAGGCCACAGTTTGTAGTAATGTCTAACAACAATAGGAAACTAATATACATTAATTTTAGTTAAATAATTTTTCTAATTTAAAAAAAGGAAGAATTTTAAATGTAAGAAACAACAAAATACACCCTCTCTCTCTTTCCTGCACGCTAGAGGCTCAGTGTCCTCGTATGTAGCAGTGGCCAAGCGACACAGTTCTGGCCTGTGAGACAAGGTGTGTCACCTGCAAAGAGCTTCTCCTAATGGAAAAGCCCAGTGCTGCCGGGAGAGGCCCCCCTCCCGCAGGTCCCCTGTTCTTCCCGCCCAGCGTAGGTGCTGAAAGCCCAGAGGGCGCCAGCCTGCTTGCACACAGAGGCAGATTGCCGGAGAGTGGAGGCTGACGTGCTCAGGATGGTGGGGCAGAGAGGCAGGCCGCCACTGTCCCAGCCCCTGATGGCCCACCCCAGGGGCTTGTTCTAGGAGAAAACCCCTGTCTCCTTGCTTGGGTAGCCACTTGGTTACAGAGAAGCTCTGCCTGATGCTGCTTCTACCCAGGGGTTCCACAGCAACACCCTGGAGCTGTCCAGAGGACCAAGTAAACAAAGACAACCATGGGGCTGCACAGGGCCTAGTGCCCTGCCTGTCTATATTGCCAATGGGTTTTAGCCCTGGGCGAGTTCACTATGGATTCAATGACACCGAGGACTGACAATCAATGGAACGTTCTTAGGGTGAAAGGGTTTACACCCAACTTTATTCCCACAGTGGCAGGTCAATACCATCCACTCAGAACGAGTCTGTGTGCAGCAAGCCTGTCTCCGTACCTGCAGCCGTCTCAGGCTCTGTCCTTGGCACTGCCACCACTCCAGTCTCTGCTCTTCTGCAGCTGTGCAGTCACCCAGAGCACTGGGCAGAGCTCTTTTTATAGAGTCAATAACAATGCATTGCCCACAGGTGTGCAGTGAGCCAGCCGACCAGGGCCAGGTGAGAATCCTGGCCACAGGAACCTTCACTTTATCCACACTCCACCCCTCCAGGATCCTCTCCTCTCAATCTATGTGCCCTCAATCTTCTGCTATGGTCCCTGTGCAAGGAAGCTGGAGCATTGTAACCAAATTCCATAACAACATAATGCAATATACAAATAACAAAAATTAGGACAAAGTATAATAACCCTCAAGCCTGAGAAAATCCATTGCCACCAAGTGGTCACCCTGGCTGTGTTCAAACCAGTTCCACTGAAATGAGTTAACCAAAGGGACCGTGGGAGGGCCTTACCCACCTTCTCCAGCCTGTCCAGCAGAAAGTCCTGCAGACACACAGGCCGATCCCGCCGCCCTGGCCCCAACCGCTGCCATGGCTCCAGCAAGGGGCCACCTGGCCCTCCATCCAGTCTCCCTCCGTCTGCTCCTGCCTTTATCACATCAGCCCACACCTGGGTCCTCGTGACCTTCACGGGCCCTTTAAATTCTCCCTCTGAGTGTCAGACCGTATTTCCTTCTGTGCTTTCAGTGCTTGAGCCTGAGGATAGGAGTGGGGCATGGGGCGCTCCCTGACCTGGGGAGGGGGCTGCACCTCTCCTGGAGGAACCCGCCGCTGCCGAGGTTTTGTTTTCTTTCAGGCTTTCCCCCAGCTTTCAACCAGGTAGGGTTTCAACTGAGGAGGGGCTAATTCCTCCTGCACCGGCAGGGCCCCCATCCCCACCTGTTGTGAAACCTTCACTCCATCCCCAGGCTGAGGGCCCCACTACACCCTTCACCTGCCCCTCAGCACCTGGCAGCCTGCGCTCTCAGGCTCCTTCTCTGGCCACTACTTCTCAGGTTACCATGATCCTTTACCATGTCCACACACCTCAGTGATGCCATTTCAGCCACAAATTTCTTACCTCCACAGCAGCACCTCGCAGCTCAGGTCTCGTGCTATCTTCTCGTGCTTCCTGCAGGAGGGCGTCTTTCTCCCTACGGCCTTTCTCAGTACTGTGCGGTGAAAACTGGCCATGGCTCCCGCCGCCTGACGGGCGCTCTGTTTCTCAAAGGGCCTACTTACTATACCAAGGGCCTGTCCTGCTGCCTCAGGCGTCACCTCCACCCCTTGCCAGCCTCGGGGTGGGGCCCAGTCCTCCAGGAGGCAAGCCACGTTGGACCACATGTCCACTCGGGGACACTCAGATGTACCCCAGTCCATAGGGGCAGCCGTGGGCACACTCTCCCATGAGGCAGCCTGTTCTATTCCTCGGTCAACAATGAATCCTGCTGACTGTCACCAATTGTCTTGTCAATGGCTTTCAGCCCCAGGCAAATTCACTATGGATTCAGTGAGACCGAAGAATGACAATAGAACATTCTTGGGGTGAAAGGGTTATACCCAACTTTATTCCCACGGTGGCAGGTCAGTCACTAGAATCCCGTCCACTCAGAGCAAGTCTGGGTGCAGCAAGCTGGTCTCTGCCTCTGGGCCTTTCTGCCCCCGCAGCCGTCCCAGTCTCTGTCCTCGGTGCTGCCACCACTCCAGCCTCTGCTCTGCAGCCATGCGGCTGTGCTGCCATGTCACCCAGAACACTGGGCGGAGCTCTTTATATAGAGTCAATAGCAACGTACTGCCCACAGGTGTGCAGTGAGCTAGCCAACCAGGGCCAGGTGAGATGCTGGCCACAGGAACCTTTACTTTAACCACACCACACTGTCAGATTGCTCAGACCTGCTTCTAGTCATTTTCAGTGTTCCGCCAGCTGCATCCTGTTGTGCTGTCATCAGTAGCTTGTCTGTTTCCTGCATTTGCCTCTAAGTTTCTGGAGGAAGCAACACTGCTGTTCCTTTTTACATTACCTTGTTCAAAGCCCAGGGGTTGGGATAAAATAAGTGCTTAGGAAACATTTGCTCTATTTCCATCAATGATAATGCAGCTTTGGAAATTATGACGGGGTCACCTTGACCCTGTAGTCTTCCAAGGGATGAAAATGAAGCAGAATTCATCTGATTCATACCAATCTGGGCCTCAGACCACTTAATTTATATTTTCTAGAGAAGGTGGGGAAACTTGGGTCCGAGAGTCTAATGTCCGTTGATGTAGCCATGCCCACCCCCCACCCCCACCCCAGATGGCGGTGATGGCTCTTCAGGGACAGCTGCAGTTTGCAGACAGGCCTCTGATTTTGGGAGCTGAATGCTTGGGTTTGAACCAGAGCAACTCCATTAATGGGCTGGGTGACTTTAGTCAGTTAGCTGACCTCCCATAACTCTGGGGTTTTGCACAACCTGCTAAATGCCTCAGAACTTCAGCTTCTATTTGAAAAATAGGGATCAAAATACCCCAACAGGGTTGCTGTGAGATAATTGAAGTTAAGGCTTTTTGCACAGTGTTTAATCACTTAATGGTGCTGACATTGAAAAAATCAAGGACTTTATTTCCAATAAATTATGAGACAAATACCCATGATTCATCTAAAACCCTCTGGTTACAAGTCTTAAGCTTTTTTCAGCATACCAGATAATGCATAGCTTCTGGTTCTCATTTTTTACTTATTTGGTTTGTAAGTATATGAATACGTGTGAATTTTCCATGGCTTGTGTAGAATTATTGCAAGAAGAGTTTTGCATGCAAGAAGCAAGCAAAATAGTTAATGACCTCATCAACTGATTAAATAAGTATGACCCAAGACTGTTTTCCCAAGGTATATATGTCATAATTAATCTACTGACTGATTAATTGCCATAAATTACCACAAGGTATTTAGAGATCCATGTTCTCTCACATTCCATTTTTCCACTGTGATGATAAAAATGAGGGTTGAACTTTCTGTGGATCAGATGAAAATTTAGTCATGAGAAGAAAAGCACCCACAAAACTACTCATAGAACATCAAGCACAAACCCAGACTGTGACATTCATATCCCACATTGTTTTCTACTCAAAGGCCTTGGTAATTTCATATTCTATTATTCAGGGAAGTTATCAGTATTACAGAATCTGTCAGTTACACAATTGGCACCGTTTGTAGAATGGTGGTTCTTAAAATGTAACTAAACCTATAAAATTCAGGTTTCTAGGCTTCTTCCCAGTCCACTATGTTAGTTACAGAAATGCTTAATGCCCCCCAGAGATGTCCCTGTCCTAATTCTCAGAAGCTGTGAATATGTTATGATGGAAGTTTCTAACACCCCATCTCAATTACAGAGAATGATAGACAGATTGGGTCGTAAGTCAGGCCGTAACAATAAGATCTGAAAAACACAATCAGTGGGGGTGCTTTAATGCCCTTACATAGAATTCTTCTGTATGGTATGAATGTTTCCATGCAAAAGCCAAAAGAATCTACAAACTATCACAACTATTAAGATTGCTCAGTAAGCTTGCAGGGTGCAAATCGGTATCCCCATCCAGTAGATCTCCTACGCACCCCAACACCTTGATAAGATAAAGATCCTTTTCAGAATCAGAGCTGTAGGGTGCCTAATAATAAATCTGACCAAGGCATCTAAGAGCTTTATGGAGTTTATAAATATTATTGAAGGCATAAAATAAGACGAGAAAAATGCCATGTTATTGGATGGGAACGCTCAATTTTGGAAAGATGGTGGTTCTCTCCAAACTAATCTATAAATTCAGTCAGTTATAAAATCCAAACAAGATATCTCTCTCCACTTGATAAATGGGTCCTAAAGTCTGTAGTGCTGTATTTCATAAACTGATCCTAAAATTCAAAAGCAAGGCAACCCAGACTCACTAGCAAGGTTATTTATGAAGGAATATGGGCGGCCTTGCCTGGCAGCTGTGCAGTCTCGCTCTAATGACAGCTATTAAAACAGTGTAATTGGTGCCGAAAAAGAAAGACCCACAGAATAAAAGAAAGAGTCTGGAACAAGATACATGTGTATATGGAAACTACGTCAAGACAAGGTGGCATGACAGGCTGGTGATAAAAAAATTAATTATGTCATAAACAGTGCTGAGACAATTAGTAACCACTTATACTGAGAAAATTAGACCCTATCCTCATGCCACAGAAAATAAATATTGCTTTAAGATGTAAATGCGAATGGAGAAATTTAAAAATCTTCAGAAGCAACTTTTATAAGAGAAAAATTTGAATGACATCAGGGGAGAACAGGATTTTTTTAAAAAAAGAAACAAGATGCATGTTCCAATGAAGCAGGGATGGGTAAAATGAGCTTGAGTTCACCCCGTCCCTCTGTTCTGGGGTTCAGGTGTGGATGGAGGAGCACGCTTTGTCCACCGTGCTGCAGACACACATCCAGGAAGGCCACGACAGCACCATCCGCCGAGTCTTGGACCAGCTTGGTGGCCTCAGTGAAGAGTGAGTGCAGCCTTCTGAAGGGTCAGGGCCCGTGTCCTGTGTGGTACGCCATTCTCCCCTCAGTGTTTTCCTCTGTAGGGTGGACACGTAACTGCCCCCTGCATCTCTTACAAACTGGTTTTGAGACAAAGGAAATTGTAAATGTAAATATGGAGTAGAGAGATAGCTGAGTGCATGGACAAAGGCTTAGAATCGAATTGATCTGGGCAAATGACCTACCCTTTCTTATTCTCAATTTCCTCATCTATAAATGGGGCTAATATTATCTACTTTACAGAACTGTCTTTCAAAGGAATTTTTTAACACCATTTTTTAGGTAAAATTTATGTATATTATTTTAAGTGTACAATTCAATTACTTTGAGCAAATTTACAGAGCTCTGTACCCATCACCATGATCCAAATCTAGAACAGTTCCATCACCCCAAATAGACTCCTTGTGCCCCTTTTCAGTCACTCCCCATTTATTGATAAATGTATATTTTTTATATCTTTTCTGTAGCTATTAGTGAAGTATCACTTTTTTCAGCTTACTGAAAAACATTTTTTTTTCCTTTTTTTCATATGAGAAAAGTTATTTTGATATAGCCATTTTTCTAGTTGCCCAGCCTTTTCCAGGAACTAATTTGTGTGTACATCAAGGTGCAGGTGGATAACTATTACATGCTCATACAGAAGAAGTGTCAGGAGAAGATGGAAACAGGGCACACCCGTGAGCCCTGCCAAGGACAATAGTGAGCAATCAGAAGATTCGTCTGGCTTGAAAGTCTGTGTCTTTTAGTTATACTAACAGTTAATTGCACATTTATATTTAATGTAAATCCTAATGCTAATGTATTTGGATTTTTAACCTAACATCTTACTGTTTGTTTTATTTTTGTCCGCTCTGTTCTGTGTTCCTTTTTCTCACCTTTCTTGCCTTCTTTTGGATTAGGTGTTTATTTATTATTCTTTCTTTTCCTCTTTTTTGGCTTGTTAGTTATATATTCTTTTACTATCCTTTTTGTGGTTCAAGATTTTTAATTGCATCTGTGATATGTCAAAATCTAATATACATTAATGTAGTTTTTCTTCCAAGACAGTGCAGACACCTTAGAACACTTCAATTCCACTTACTCCTCCCCACAGATTATGCTTTTCTTAATGGGTATTTTATTTGTCTCTATATTTTAACCCTATGAGATATTATTATTGTTGTTGTTTTATGCGATCAGTATTCATTTAGATTTACTCACACATTTACCCTTACTGTTGCTCTTGATTCCTTCCTGTATCTTTAAGCCTCTATCTAGGATTATTTTCCTCTATGTGAAGGTTCTTTGTATTTTAGATCTGCTAGTGACCAATTCTTTTAGGTTTTGTTTGTCTGAAAAAATCTTTATTTTTGAGGAATATTTTCGCTGGGTATAGAATCCAAGTTTGGTTATTACTTTAAAAATATTTTTAAAGATAATCTTTTGTCTTCTGATTTCAGTTGTTTCTAGCTGCTTTTAAGATTTTCTTTTGTTCTTTGATTTTCATCCACTTACTGATAGGAGTGAACATGTACTTGGTCTGGTGTGCATTTCTTGTTAGTCTAAGAAATCTGTAGTGCTTCTTGAATCTGTGACTTGGTGTCTTTCATCCGTTTTTGAAAATTCTGTCCTTATCTCTTTAAATATTCCATTTACCCATTCTCTCCCTACCCCTTCTGGGGCTCCAATTATATATTTATTAGACCTTTTTACCTTATCCTGTATGTCTTACATGTTCTTCTAAGTTTTTCATTCTTTTGTTCTCTGTGGCCCAGTCTAGGTACTTATTTTGAGCTATCTTCCAGTTAGTGCTCACTTCAGCTATGTCATTTCTGCTGTTAAATCCATCTCCTGAGTTTTTTTTAAATTTTGATATCATTAATCTACAATTACATGAAGAACTTTATGTTTACTAGGCTCCCCCCTTCACCAAGTCCCCCCACACACTCCATTACAGTCACTGTCCATCAGCGTAGTGAGATGCTGTAGAATCACTACTCGTCTTCTCTGTGTTGCACAGCCCTCCCCGTGCTGCCCCCACACTATATATGCTAATCGTAATGCCCCCTTTATTTCCACCCCCTTATCCCTTCCTTCCCACCCATCCTCCCCAGTCCCTTTCCCTTTGGTAACCTTTAGTCCATTCTTGGGTTCTGTGAGTCTGCTGCTGTTTTGTTCCTTCAGTTTTCCTTTGTTCTTACACTCCACAGGTGAGTGAAATCATTTGGTACTTGTCTTTGTCCGCCTGGCTTATTTCACTGAGCATAATACCCTCTAGCTCCATCCATGTTGTTGCAAATGGTACATCTCCTGAGTTTTTAATGTCAGTTACTGTGTCTTCATTTATAGAATTTTCATTTGACTCTTTTTGTAGTATTTAGTTATCTCCTGAATTTCTTCATCTTATCATTTAATTTCTTAAACATATTCATTGTAATTATTTTAAAGTTCATGTCTGATTATTCCAATATCCAGCATTTTGTGGATATGTTTCTATTGTTTGCTTTTCCTCTTTATTTTTGGCCAACTCCTACCTGTTTGCAAGTCCGGTTATATTTACTGAATGCTGGAAAATTGTGATAGGAAATTGTAGATAATCCAAGACTTTGAATGATGGGATCTTCCTCCAGAGAGGCTTTCTCTTCTAGCAGGAATTTCAGATAGTAGCAGATCAGCTATTCCATTTGTGAATTTAGTTGGTTCAAAATCAAAACTTTGTAAGGATGATTCCATAGTCTTAGGATGAGGGCCCCCCACTGAAAGCCTGGGGTGTTTGCCAGGTCTCTCCTCCTTGGTAGGCTGATTTTCACTGCTCTGTTCAGTTTTTCAGGCTGCCAGCAAATACCTCAAGCTACAAAACCAGTGTTGGAGCTCTCTGGCAGACCAAGGGTTTCGTTTGAGTCACTGAGATAGGAACTCAAAAATAGCTCAAGATTTCAGTTTTGGATATGTTCATTTTCAGGGTTCTGTAAGAAATTCAAGTGGCCGTGTACTGAAGGCAGCTGCACATATGCATCTGAAACTTGGGGTAGGATGTGATAAAGTTAAAAAGGTTATAAAAAACAGATGGCTGAATAGGCGAGCACCCATGTCTCACCAAGGCAGCAGAAAATGGGGTAACTCCAGCCTACCTCCTGGAAGTGCTCCCTATGGAATGGGACGATTTGGGGAATTTCTTGATAACTCAGTGTATTAGGATTGTCCCAAGGACAATGTGTACTTTCAGTCCTAAGTCTGAAGGCTTGAGAACCAGGAGCGCCAATGGCCTAAGTTCTAGACTGAAAGTCAGTAGTCTCAAGACCCACAAAGAGCTGATGTTTCAGGTCAAGTCCAAAGGCAGGAAAAAATCCCATGTCCCAGCTGAATGCAGTCCTGCAGAAGGAGTTCCCTCTTACTGTGGGGTGTCAGCTTTTTCTTATCTGCAGGCTCCAAACTGATTGAATAAGGCCCACCCACATTCGAAAGGGCAATCTGCTCTACCCAGTCTACTGGTTCTAATGTTAATCTCATCCAGAAACACCCAGAATAATTTTTGACCAGATGTTCATGCACCACGTGGCCCATTCATACTGACACATAAAATTAGCCATCGCACTCGGTGAAGCCAAGAGCACCGACTCCAGCCCCCTGCCCGCTTTCATCAAAGGTCCACACGGCGCATCCTGCAGGGGCATGACCTGCTCCTGCGCTCGGCCCTCCGGAGGCTGGCCCTCCGTGGCAGCGCCGTCACCACCCTGGCCCAGATGAGGCTGTCGGGGAAGAAGAGCCTTCTCCAGGAGCTGCGTGAGCAGCACGCCCTTGAGCAGGCCCCCTCCCAGTGCCTGGACGAGCATCAGTGGCAGCTGCTCGGAGCCTTGGTAAGATGGGCATCTCAGCCCCCCACCATCCTAGACAGGCAGTGCACCTCGACTGGGTTCCCAGTTCAGCCATGTTTGCCCAAACCCGAGTCCTGCCACCCCTGTGGTTGCAGGGGGTGGCGGACAGGGGCAGCCCTGCATGGTGTTGGAACAGGGCACCCATGTGCCAGAAGGCTGTAGTGTGTGCTATAGGGAGAATTATGCTAAAAATGCACATGAAATCAGAGCACAGATAGGTACAGTCATCCTCAGGGGGTTGGAGGAAAGTTTTAAGGTTTTAATAAATTGAAAGGAAGAATTTGTAAATTGCAGGGCTGGGATTTAAACCCAAGCAGGCTGAGTCCAGGTCTTACGTAGCTACTGAATTATAGGACCAGCTGATGTTTTCTGACTCACTGATGAGGGATAAACTCAGTCTCTTACTCTTCCCAGAAAAGCTTGGTGGGAAGCAGGCAGGGCTTGTTGCCTGGCTCTGACTCCCCCACCTTCTCCGACTCGTTCCTGCCCAGACAGGCTATCCCTTGGGCCCCACGTGCCCTGCCCTGGCTCCCATGAAGTCCCGGACTAGTCTCAGACTCAGATCTGCCTTCAAAACCCGGCTCTACTTTTAGAAAGTTACTTAATGTCTCTGAGCCTCTGGCCTCATCATTCCTAGTATTTAGGCCTTCCAGTGTTCTAGAAGAAAGAAGAAATGTGTGTATGTGTGAGAGGCACAGCTGGCACTGGGTACAGAGTTGGTGCTCAATAAATGCCTTAGTGGGGGTCTTCAGCAGACACCCAGGCGCATATCCCTTGCTGACTTTCGTAAGCCCAGAGGTCCCCTTTCTGCCTCTTCCCCATCCCTTCCCTCACCTTCCTGGGGTCCCGGGCAGGGCCAACCCCATATCCTGGCCCTGGTCCTGGCCCTGGCCAGGGTGTCTGTGCAGGAAAGCGGGGGACTTCTTCCCCTCCTGCCCTGTTCTTTCCAGGAGGCCCGCGTTCTGGAGGAGACCAGCCGGCTGGAGGAGGAGGCTCAGCAGATGCGTCTGCAGCTTCAGCAGCAGCTCCTGGCCGAGGCTCAGGAGGTCGGGCAGCTTCTGAAGCAGCACACGGAGCAGGCCATCGGGCAGGCGCTGCTGGGCCACGCACGGAACGTGGCCACCAAGAGCCGGGCCAAGGACAGGGATGACTTCAAGGTACGCGCCAGCCTTGGCCCCAGGGAGCCTCAGGAGCAGAGGGGTTGGGGTGGGGTGGGGGGCCGGGGCAGACCCGAGGCAGGGTCTGCACAGAGCAGAGGCGTGCATCCTCGCCACACCCTGCGCCAGAGCTCCTGGCCTTGCAGAGGTTACCCGGCTTCTTGGGACCTCCTTTTCCTCATCCACAAGAGGGCATCACCTCCCTTACAGAATGGTGAGGCTTCTGCCTACCGCTGCCCTGTGGCACGGCATTCCGAGCACTGGCTTGGCCCGCACAGCCACTCTAAGAGGTCCCACCCGGACCTCCCTGGTCAGTGGCAGACATGGGATCTGAACCCAAGCCCCTCTCCCAGGGAGAAACGTGGGCCTTCCCTGCCCCCCGGCCGCCTCTGCAGAGGCAGCTGAGCAACGCAGCTAAAACCAGCATGGCTGATAGGCGGTGACTTACTCGCTGGGTCATCCACGATGACAGACCACAGGGATGGAATTAACAGTGGCGTTAGCAGCATGCGCGTGGCGCTTCTCCATCTTCATGCTTTTGCCCACCTCGTCTCATGGGGCTCTTACCACAACCTGTGCACAGCCAGAGAAAGTCTTCTCCCCACTGTTCAGGAGGGAAAACTGAGGCTTATCACTGGGCAAAAGACATGCTTAAAGCCTCGCAGCTGTAGTGAGTGGCAAAGGGGACGGGAGCCGGCCATGCCCTGTGCGGCCACAACATTCCCTGCTTCTCCGTGGCTGCCTCCTGACTCAACCCATAAGGAAGGGAGAGACACCCCCACTCGCTGTAGACAGTTACAGAAAGAGTGTCTGTGGTCGGCACACAGGGGAGGTGTTGCAGCCGGCTGGCATTCTGATGGGCCAAGAGTCCTTTCAGTGAAATAAGGTCACTTTACTCATATACCCAGCAAAGAGGTTGGACCCATTTCTGTGACACCCCATCATTCCAGATTATCTCAGCCTTGCCAAGGGCCTTCCAGACATCAGGACTGTGCCTAACATGTGACATTGGGAAGGTGACCTCCTTGCCCCCAAATTCTACAACTCGTATCTATCAAATGCTCGTTGCATGAACATGCAGTGAAGCATGAGCATATTTTGATGGAAGCAGTACACCAGCCAGGAAAGCCGATGAGGAGAAGAGAAGCGAGGCCAGGACAGAGGCCTGGGGAGGGAAGGATGGGTGGGACGCAGAAGACAGGTGGCAGGAAGACAGGCGGACAGAGGCGTGATGGTGCTGGCGGGTTCGCTAACTTGAGCAGGAAGGAGAGTGATTTCCTGGCTCCTGGAGTCCATGTTCCAAGTGAAATTCAGAGAAGGCACTCGCCGTCAGTGAGGGCACCTGTCCCGGCATGCACGGCCAGAGCCCGCTCGGCGGGTGGACTTGGAGCCCCGTCTGGCTCTTTGGGAGGTCAGGCAGAGTGGGAGAGAGAACCAGCCACAGCGAGGGATGGGCAGGGCCCTGGGAGTGGGCACCGGCTCGGACCTGTGCTGCCAGCCTAGGCTGGCACTCCCTTCATCCCCGCAGCCTTCGCCCGTACTGATGGAATCAGCATTTCTCAGACAGTACTGTGCAAATAAAGTGAATTGTGCAGCCCCCAGAACTTAACCAATCACTCAACATAATTTTTAAAAATGGGCATTTTCTTCTTGCCCAAAGCCTGGAACCATTTAATAAATGTTGAAGTAGAGAGAGACTTTTGAGTCTGACTTCTGCCCATCACCTTACAAAGTAAAGGATGGTGACTTAGCCAGCGCACAGCCAGCACATCCCCGTGACGAGCATTTCCTCTCTGTCCTGCTTAGAGGCTGAAGGTGTATCATTTAAGAATGCATCATTGCTGCAAGTACCAGAAAGCCTACCAAAATGGCAA